GTTATCACATTTCCCGACAAAGATACCTTGTGCTCCACCACCTCGAGTTCGTCCTCCATGAACTTGATTCGGATCACTAAACGATACAAATTGATTTTCGTGACTCCATGCAAAAATTTTCACTGTGGTAAAAAAATATCAAAAAAGCGCTGATCAATAAAGTGTATGGTTAAAATTTGTAGTCATCCTAACAGTGTTTATTATGCACCAAGATGCCTGTACAAAGTTTCCATTTTATGGCAAAAGTCTCATGGTGGCACCCATAATCTCATGTACAGGGTATCAAGATATCGAGAAAAAGATAAAAAACGTGAAAAATTCCTGGGCACAAATAAACGCTTTTGATACCAAAGCGGCCACCTGGAGCCATTAGAACTTTCTAGGAAATTCGATTTGAAAACCTTTTTTATGAGGCACCCTGTACACTCCTTAATTTAATCATTGACTTCAAAGATAGAACTTTTATATTAGAAAACCCTTTGACTAATATTAGGTTGGATGCAAAAGTCTTTTCATTTTTTTCGTCTGCCGTTTCAAGCCAACAAATGCACCAATTAAACTACGGTTGGTTTCATTAGAAAAACCAATTATTTTTCTGCAAAATAACATTAAAACGGGTTTAAAAATATTTTATGCCTGGATTTTCTTGAGAGTATGAAGTCGGGTAGTCAAAAAGGGCTAACTCGATGATGCGGTTTAGACACCTTAGCTAAAGAAAACCTATCTTCGTGTCAATAGATAAAAGATAGAGAAAAAAAAGTTTGATATTTCGCCAAAATTTCAGAGAAATTCATTCAGCCAATTTTTCCGTAGTTTTTTATAGATTTTTACGAAAAAGGCGTTTTTCACTCTCGAATTTGCTTGAAAGTGAACCGAAATTGATTTAAAAAGATGGAAATTGAACGGAAAAAAACACTTTTTTATAGAGCAAACTATAGATTAATTGGTGAATTTGTTACTTTTTAACAGAAGTACGAAAAAAATGAAAAAGACTTTTGCATCAACCTAATAGAAATTGATACAGATTTGACTTTGAAGAACTAGAAAACAATTGTTCAAACCTTAGTTTATCAACCTAAAATAAAACTAACTTTGTGGTTGTGGTGGTGGTGGTGGTGGCGAAGGAGAATCGAGAAAGAACTCCATACTTGGCCAGCCATCCGGAAGCAAAAACGAGCCAGTTGAATCCAAACTAAAACTAGAATAGGTTAAAGAAGATAAAATACACTCAAAACTAAATTTTAAAATCGAACTTACTTGCACCATTTTGCCTCTTCATTATCACCATAACGCAAAGCAACGATTGAAGTCGAAGGGAGGAGAAACACACTTTTGACAGTGTTCTGTGTTATCACATTTCCCGACAAAGGTACTTTGTGCTCCTTCACCACGATTCCCTCGCGCATCAACTTGATTCGGATCACTAAGTGATGTTTAAATTCATTTTTTGTGCCACCTTGCAAAATTTAACTTTGGTAAAATTTTCTTGTCTACAAAAAAATATTTTGTGCATTTTGGTTAGGTCTTGTTTATTGGCCAGCACCAGAATACCAAGACACCAAAACTCACTTAAATGACACACCGGCGATGACCTGATACACTTTACAGGGTGTCTATTTTATTTTAGAAAAGTCCTTGACTAACAGACAATGATACAGATTTGACTTTGAAGAACTACAAAAAAGTTGTTCAAACATTAGTTTATCAGCCTCATATAAAAAAACTAACCTCGTGGTTGTGGTGGTGGTGGTGGTAAACGAGAGTCGACAAAGAACTCCATAGTTGACCAGCCTTCAGGAAGCAAAAACGAGCCAGTTGAATCCAAACTAAAACTAGAATAGGTTAAAGAAGATAAAATACACTCAAAAATAAATTTTAAAATCGAACTTACTCGCACCATTTCGCCCCTTCATTCTCACCATAACGCAACTTAAGGATCGAAGTCGGAGGGAGGGAAAACAGATTTTTGACAGCCTCCTGTGTTATCACATTTTCTGACAAAGATATGTTGCTCTCCTTCACCACGATTCCCTCGGGCATCAACGTGATTCGGATCACTAAACGATATTTAAATTCATTTTTTTAACACCCTAAAAAATTTTAACTTTGGTAAACTTTTCTTGTCCACAAAAAATATTTTGTGCATTTTGGTTAGGTCTTGGTTTATTGGCTAGCACCAAAACTCACTTAAATGAACACCGGCGATGACCGGGTACACTTTACAGGGTGTCTCATAAAAAACGTTTTCAAATCGAACTCCTTGACTAATGGACATTGATACAAATTTGACTTTGAAGAACTACAAAAAAGTTGTTCAAACATTAAAACTACCAACCTCAGATAAAACAAAACTAACCTCCTGGTTGTGGTGGTGGTGGTCGTGGATAAATTGCTGTAAATATTTGATTTTTCCATCCGTCTGCAGGGCACATAAACAATGAGCGAGCTGAATCAAACCTAAAACTAGAATAGATTAAAAAAGATGATTTTATCCTTACATAACAACCCGACTCGCTTCCGCCTTCGGATCTTTGAACTCCAACCCAGTGGCCCCAGGAAACGTATGCGATAGAGTTGCCAACGAGAGATTTCTGTAAATAAAAGTTGTGATCAATATTGACAAAAATTGAAAAAAAAATTCACAAAGACACTAACCTGTCAGAGTTGCAGGGCAATCCGCGTGGTTTTCCATCTTCCCTATCTTTCACGACCACGTAGCTCGGCTCTTTTGGACTAACGTCTTCTCCTCCATAGTCTTTGAGGCCGAACTCATTGCCAGCTTTCACGTCATCCGAGTCAGGCGATTCGTTCGGTAAATCCATCTCTGGCTAAAAATGAAGTTTAGCATAGGGTTGAAATAAATGAAAGCTATCAAAATCGAGTTAAGAAAAATTTGGAAAGCCAGTTCGCAAGTGCGACATATCAAAACAGTGCGCTCAAAAAAAGCAAGCACAAAAAATAGATTAGACAATGAATCAGTCCATGAAATTTTAGGGTAACATTGCCCATTTAGGTGGGTAAGTCGTTAAGTAGATAAAAGAGATATTTTTATCAAATTGTCGATAAAGTTAATTGAAATTATCTAAAATTGACAGGATTCTTCAATGTTGGAAAACTATTTACTATGTGATCAATAGATGGGAGTACACGGGACAACAATCGACGCTACTGTGTCTCATTCGCGGCAATAAAGAGATTAAACAACCGCTGCCGACTCGCTGGGGGAGATAATGCAAATGACAGAATCTGTAGTCTTATTGTTTGTGAAACTTCAATTAAATAAATGAATATCTTTAAAAATAAATAGATACACTTTAACACAGATTGCTTTATAGAAACACAAGTGGTTTTTTCATAGCATTTGTTCTATAAGCTTGTTTTTAACGAATATAAAACTAGGGAGGGAGTAGCTACTATTATGGTAGGTTAGATAGAGAAAGGAATAACGGGCTTAAACCTAATCAATTTAGTTGCGCTCCGATTTTTCGTAAAGTACATTCCACTCCTTCGATAAAACACAAGAAAAAATCTGAAACTCACTGGCTCTTTTGGTCTAACGTCTTCTCCTCTGTAGTCTTTGGGGTCGAACTCATTGGCAGTTTTCACGTCATCCGAGTAAGGCGATTCGCTCGGCAAATCCATCTTTTGCTAAAAATGAAGTTTAGTATAGGGTTGTAACAAATGAAAGCGATCAAAACTGATTCAAGAAAAATTTGGAAAGCCAGTTCGCAAGTGTGACACATGGCAAGCACACAATGGTTCGGTAAGCCAAAAGAGACGAATAATCAAGTTTGTAGAGGACGAATAAAACGATACTGATTCTACGATTTGATGGAGCAAAAAGGAAATGATAAAAAAAGAAAACTCTGTGGGAAACATGGCCTTCAAAAGATCTATGTTCAATTTTTAGACCGAATATCTTAGCAGCAAAAGCAATTGTCGAATTGTGGGTATTTAAAAGGTTCCATCTTCAAGCAAAAGTCTCATTTGGGGCAAAAACTGAAAACAAAATGTTTCAAAAGAGTAATTCCTAGCATCTCGCTTGGGCTCCAAAAATGTTTCCACTTTTCTGTTAACCTCGCTGACATGTCATGACGTGTTAGCGAGGTCTGATTTGTCAAAATTCAAAATCTACGCACACGATGCCCTGATATGGAAACACTTTTGTTGCTCTACGGGCCCTTCTAAGGCCTTTTCCAACAAAAAAAGGTGCGCCTTTTTACTTGGTGCGCAAAAAGGCAGCATTTATTTCATCCCCTCCTTACCGAGAAGAAAAAAAGCTGACTGGGTTGAATAAGATTGTGCCAAAGGGGTGATTTGATGGAAACTGAATCAATTTTTACAAGAGGGTAAACAAAGATAGACAAACAGTTAAGTTCGTGGATGACGAGTAAAAAGAAACTTACTCCAGGATTTGGTGGAGCAAAAAGAAATGAAAAAGGAGCTGCTACTGTACATTTCGATTCATCAATTTGACTTTTTTGGGTTTCATTTGATGCGTCTATTTGTCCTCTATCCAATGAAACCAAAGCCAAATTGATAAATGCTGCATCGAGAAAAACGCAAAATGCCTCTGGCAAAGGGAGAAAACTAGGGGGGCAGTCGAAATGTATAGCTGCGACGTTCAAAAGCAAAAATTTCTATTTTTAGACTGAATATCTTAACAGCAAAAGCAATTCTCGAATTGTTGGATATTTAAAAGGTTCCATCTTCAAGCAAAAGTCTCATTTGGGGCAAAAACGTAGGGCTTGGCTACTCTGCGCCGAATTTTTTACGCAACAAGGTCATTTGCGCAACTAGCCATAACTTTCTTCCAAGTGGGCCAATCTTTATGATTTTGGTTTCATTTTGTAGATCTCAATAAGTGCGCAAAAAATTTGGCTTATTGAGCCTTTGAGATCTACAAAATGAAACCAAAATTATAAAGATTGGCCGATTTTGAAGAAAGTTATGGCGGGTTGCGCAAAAAGTTTGTCGCAAAGTAGCCACCTAACCCCAAAAACGTAAAGCAAAACGTCTCAAAAAAGTAATTCCTAACATCGACAACGCTGTAGTTCGTTCTCTTGGACCTCTGCCATTTTACCTTCTTTGAGAGAGTCAAGAGATGAGAGACAATTTGAATTTGAAATATTGGCGAGCACATTTCACACCAACACTTGGAATTTTGAGAAACCAACTGAACAAAAATTTATATTTAGGTTTGCTGTAATAGCTTTGAGTACTTGACGGATAGCGAGAGCAGCAACGAGTTTTGCAAAATCGGCCAATCTTTATAATTTTGGTTTCATTTTGTAGATCTCAAAGGCTCAATAAGCCAAATTTTTTGCGCACTTATTGAGATCTACAAAATGAAACCAAAATCATAAAGATTGGCCCACTTGGAAGAAAGTTATGGCTAGTTGCGCAAATGACCTTGTTGCGTAAAAAATTCGGCGCAGAGTAGCCAAGCCCTACGTTTTTGCCCCAAATGAGACTTTTGCTTGAAGATGGAACCTTTTAAATATCCAACAATTCGAGAATTGCTTTTGCTGTTAAGATATTCAGTCTAAAAATAGAAATTTTTGCTTTTGAACGTCGCAGCTATACATTTCGACTGCCCCCCTAGTTTCTCCCTTTGCCAGAGGCATTTTGCGTTTTTCTCGATGCAGCATTTATCAATTTGGCTTTGGTTTCATTGGATAGAGGACAAATAGACGCATCAAATGAAACCCAAAAAAGTCAAATTGATGAATCGAAATGTACAGTAGCAGCTCCTTTTTCATTTCTTTTTGCTCCACCAAATCCTGGAGTAAGTTTCTTTTTACTCGTCATCCACGAACTTAACTGTTTGTCTATCTTTGTTTACCCTCTTGTAAAAATTGATTCAGTTTCCATCAAATCACCCCTTTGGCACAATCTTATTCAACCCAGTCAGCTTTTTTTCTTCTCGGTAAGGAGGGGATGAAATAAATGCTGCCTTTTTTGCGCACCAAGTAAAAGGCGCACCTTTTTTGTTGGAAAAGGCCTTAGAAGGGCCCGTAGAGCAGCAAAAGTGTTTCCATATCAGGGCATCGTGTGCGTAGATTTTGAATTTTGACAAATCAGACCTCGCTAACACGTCATGACATGTCAGCGAGGTTAACAGAAAAGTGGAAACATTTTTGGAGCCCAAGCGAGATGCTAGGAATTACTCTTTTGAAACATTTTGTTTTCAGTTTTTGCCCCAAATGAGACTTTTGCTTGAAGATGGAACCTTTTAAATACCCACAATTCGACAATTGCTTTTGCTGCTAAGATATTCGGTCTAAAAATTGAACATAGATCTTTTGAAGGCCATGTTTCCCACAGAGTTTTCTTTTTTTTATCATTTCCTTTTTGCTCCATCAAATCGTAGAATCAGTATCGTTTTATTCGTCCTCTACAAACTTGATTATTCGTCTCTTTTGGCTTACCGAACCATTGCGTGCTTGTCATGTTCTGATTCTTGTCATTTGTCACACTTGCGAACTGGCTTTCCAAATTTTTCTTGAATCAATTTTGATCACTTTCATTTGTTTCAACCCTATACTAAACTTCATTTTTAGCAAAAGATGGATTTGCCGAGTTCGAATGACGTGAAACCACCTCCACCACAACCACAAAGTTAGTTTTATTTTAGGTTGATAAACTAATGTTTGAACAACTGTTTTCTAGTTCTTCAAAGTCAAATCTGTATCAATGTCTGTTAGTCAAGGACTTTTCTAATATAAAAGTTCTATCTTTAAAGTCAATGATTAAATTAAGGAGTGTACGGGGTGCCTCATAAAAAAAAGGTTTTCAAATCGAATTTCCTAGAAAGTTCTAATGGCTGCAGGTGGCCGCGTTGGTGTCAAAAGCGTTTATTTGTGCTCAGGATTTTTTCACGTTTTTTATCTTTTTCTCGAGATCTTGAAACCCTGTACATCAGATTATGGGGATGAGAATTAACAGGTGAAATGTGTAACTAACTTCTGAGCATTTATACAGGGTGTCCCAAAAAATCGACTTGAGGTCAAATTTTAAAAATTTTTCCGATGGCTCAAGGTAGTAGGTATGGTGCAAAAATGATTCTTTTGAGGTCGGGAAATTTTGGTACTTTTGATTTTCCCCATATCTCAATACAAGAAATTTCTGAACCACCATGGTCACCACCACGATGAGACTTTTGCCATAGAAGGAAAACTTTGTACTGGCATCGTAGTGCATGATAAACACTGTTAGGATGACTACAAATTTTAACCATACACCTTTTTGATAGGCGTTTTGTTGAAAAAACGAGACAGCTTTTTAAAAAAGGCGAGTTGAAAATCTCGTATGTACGACAATTTATTATATAATGTAGATCACTAAAGTGTTTGGCCAAAAATCTTAGTTTATATATTAACTCCAATATGACACCAAGATGCCAGTTCAAAGTCTTAATTTTATGGCATGATGGTGGTGCTGGTGGCACCCATAATCTCATGTACAGGGTATCAAGATATGGTGAAAAATTCCTTAGCACAAATAAACGCTTTTGACACCAAAGCGGCCACCTGCAGCCAGTAGAACTTTTTAGGAAATTCGATTTGAAAACGTTTTTTTATGAGGTAAAGTGTATCAGGTCATCGCCGGTGTGTCATTTAAGTGAGTTTTGGTGTCTTGGTATTCTGGTGCTGGCCAATAAACAAGACCTAACCAAAATGCACAAAATATTTTTTTGTAGACAAGAAAATTTCACCAAAGTTAAAATTTTTCATGGTGTCACAAAAATGAATTTAAACATCGCTTAGTGATCCGAATCAAGATGATGGGCGAGGGAATCGTGGAGACGGAGCGCAAGCTCCCTCTGTCAGAAAATGTGATAACACAGGAGGCTGTCAAAAGTGTGTTTCTCCTCTCTTCGACTTCAGTCGTTGCGTTGCGTTATGGTGATAATGAAGAGGCAAACTGGTGCAAGTAAGTTCGATTTTAAAATTTAGTTTTGAGTGTATTTTATCTTCTTTAACCTATTCTAGTTTTAGTTTGGATTCAACTGGCTCGTTTTTGCTTCCGGATGGCTGGCCAACTATGGAGTTCTTTCTCGATTCTCTATCGCCACCACCACCTCCACCACAACCACAAAGTTAGTTTTATTTTAGGTTGATAAACTAATGTTTGAACAACTGTTTTCTAGTTCTTCAAAGTCAAATCTGTATCAATGTCTGTTAGTCAAGGACTTTTCTAATATAAAAGTTCTATCTTTAAAGTCAATGATTAAATTAAGGAGTGTACGGGGTGCCTCATAAAAAAAAGGTTTTCAAATGGAATTTCCTAGAAAGTTCTAATGGCTGCAGGTGGCCGCGTTGGTGTCAAAAGCGTTTATTTGTGCTGAGGATTTTTTCACGTTTTTTATCTTTTTCTCGAGATCTTGAAACCCTGTACATCAGATTATGGGGATGAGAATTAACAGGTGAAATGTGTAACTAACTTCTGAGCATTTATACAGGGTGTCCCAAAAAAATCCACTTGAGGTCAAATTTTAAAAATTTTTCCGATGGCTCAAGGTAGTAGGTATGGTGCAAAAATGATTCTTTTGAGGTCGGGAAATTTTGGTACTTTTGATTTTCCCCATATCTCAATACAAGAAATTTCTGAACCACCATGGTCACCACCACGATGAGACTTTTGCCATAGAAGGAAAACTTTGTACTGGCATCGTAGTGCATGATAAACACTGTTAGGATGACTACAAATTTTAACCATACACCTTTTTGATAGGCGTTTTGTTGAAAAAACGAGACAGCTTTTTAAAAAAGGCGAGTTGAAAATCTCGTATGTACGACAATTTATTATATAATGTAGATCACTAAAGTGTTTGGCCAAAAATCTTAGTTTATATATTAACTCCAATATGACACCAAGATGCCAGTTCAAAGTCTTAATTTTATGGCATGATGGTGGTGCTGGTGGCACCCATAATCTCATGTACAGGGTATCAAGATATGGTGAAAAATTCCTTAGCACAAATAAACGCTTTTGACACCAAAGCGGCCACCTGCAGCCAGTAGAACTTTTTAGGAAATTCGATTTGAAAACGTTTTTTATGAGGTAAAGTGTATCAGGTCATCGCCGGTGTGTCATTTAAGTGAGTTTTGGTGTCTTGGTATTCTGGTGCTGGCCAATAAACAAGACCTAACCAAAATGCACAAAATGTTTTTTTTGTAGACAAGCAAGAAAAATTTACTAAAGTTAAAATTTTTGCAAGGAGGCGCAAAGATGAATTTGAATATCGTTTAGCGATCCGAATCAAGTTGATGGAGGACGAACTCGTGGCGGTGGAGCACAAAGTATCTTTGTCGGGAAATGTGATACCACAGAAGGCTGTCAAAAATATGTTTTCCCTCCCTCCGACTTCGATCGTTAGGTTGCGTTATGGTGATAATGAAGAGGCAAACTGGTGCAAGTAAGTTCGATTTTAAAATTTAGTTTTGAGTGTATTTTATCTTCTTTAACCTATTCTAGTTTTAGTTTTGATTCAACTGGCTCGTTTTTGCTTCCTGATGGCTGGCCAACTATGGAGTTCTTTGTCGATTCTCGTTTGCCACCACCACCTACCACCACAACCACAAGGTTAGTTTTATTTTAGGTTCGATAAACTAATGTTTGAACAACTGTTTTCTAGTTCTTCAAAGTCAAATCTGTATCAATGTCTGTTAGTCAAGGACTTTT